AAGAGAGACATGATTTTAGTATATTGTCATGACTGGACTTTTAACTATATCTGTTATTCACTTTCTTCCCATAGTTTCCGTAAGTGGAAAAAACTTGTTCAGGAACCAGCACTTAAGTCCTATTCTATTTCTCTCAAATTAACATTCTGGATTTGACTAAAAGAAATAAGTACATGTAACTTGTGTGGCTAAATAAGGTAGTGAGATTAACTGTTCCTTCTTTCTCTAATCAAAGCACAGAAAGAATACATTTCTATTTCAACTTCTTAGGAACTGAATTATAGAAACCTCTAATCCTTTAGACAAGAAAATGAAATATGGGAGTGGGGGGAGGGAAGATTTTGATTTTTTTCTGACAAACTATATTAAATCTCATGTCTGCAAGCTAGAAAACTTGTGAAAATATCTATTTATCAATGTTCTGGTTCATTCCCAGTGCCAGAAAAAAAGTTATTTTGTTAGTGTGTTGCATTAATTTTGCATTTATGGCACAGCAGATTGGTATAGCTTATTCAACAAAGACTAATTTAAAAATTCCTGGTTTGGGATTATATGCAATACCTCTTGAAAAGTGTGCCCTCTATTTTTAGCGAATGAGAAAAAACAATTCAAAGTAGCTCAAAAACAGGAGAGGATGAATATGCTTGCATTGCTTCATTAATGTCTTAAAATATTCATTTAGTTCAGTATTCAGTTTTGTCATTAAGCACAGGAGAACCAGTAGTGTCACCTATTGGATACTATGTCCATTATAGTACTCACTAATAGGCAGAAACAATACAACTGATTATTTAAATTGGGAATTCACTGTAAATGCAATATAACTTCATTGCTCTTCATCATATTGTTTGTTGAACCATCATATTTAATACATGATTTCTGGTTAGATGAAATTACTGTATGCAGTAAAGACTACACATTAAAGGGTTTTGTTTTCTCTTTTTAAGAATGGCATATATTGAGGAAACTAAATGGATATAAAATATATATTTAGATTTTTAATTTAATAATAAAAAATAAAACTATATCTTAATGGCAAACTTTTACACTTTGGTTTTTAGTATTAACAAAATTAAAAAATGTAAGAAAATTAGCATTGACACAGAATGTCAATGAGAAAAAATGAGAATAAGATAATTGTGAAGCAAGAAGCAACAAGAACCGATTTTTAGTTAATTTTACCATTATTTTTAAAATGTGAGTATTAGATATGTGAGTATTTTCTCATATCTAACAGAAACAGGATAAAATTACTTTCTATATTAATAGAAAAATATTAGAAATAATTAGTGTTCTTTTAAAAGAAGAACTCAACAGATTATTAAACATGAAATAATACCAAATGGCCAATGACATTTAAACTGAAATAGAAAATTTGATCCCATTGTTAGTAGGCCAGGAAAGATAAAGTAGGTCACAATAAATTCTGCCCTAATGGCAGAAGCCAGGTGTATGACATCTCAGTTGCGTTAAAGTAAAATGTTATTTCTGTTCATCTTATCTGGGGAAAAGAGCACATATCTCAAATCCTTTATATCACAGACTCCTGTGAGAGTCCACAGTATCTCCAAAACAGTCATAATTGTTTTGGGAAAAGGAGAAGATATAGATAAAAAATACTTAGCCAGTTGAAAATAATCAATGCTTTGCTATGCAGGTGATATTATATTATTTTGCTGCTTTAAATTAAATTCAGAGTAATGAATGAATACAACCTCATAGCTCACAATGTTTTTAAGGCAGACCTTATCACCAAATTGCAATTTCTATATCCATTTTAATATTAGAAACAATTAAGTCAATATCATTTTCCTCGACAGGTGTTGGGCCTTAGCTCTGCTTATTTTTTCTGTGTTGATTTGCCTTATTTGGAATGGTTGGTCTGAGAGTTCTATATGCTAAGTCCTAGGACGGACTGTTTTCCTGAGATCTTCGGTTTTAAGTCAGGAGATATGGTATCCAGGGTCTAGGACAATTTACTGCTGCTCATGCACCACCACCAGCTCACCCCAGGTGATTCGGCACAGGACAACTCACTGAAGAAATGTTATGATTTAAATGTTGAGTCTTAGGGTTTTGTGGCCATGGTCGATGGCCACAAAAGGTACTTAAAAGGAGGGGGGTCTGTGGTGAAGAAAAGATTGAGAACCACTGCTATAAGCATGGCAAGTGCTCTATTCTCCCCATAAATGGGGAAAGCTCTCCTTTTCAGAATGTAGCTGTTGTGCTCCAAAGCAAATAGTAAAATATATTGTGGAACAATGCCCTCTAAGCACATATCAGGGAAACCCCAGAGACTTTCTGTATGCAACTCTATCATCTATCAACTATATAAATAGTCTACCTTTGAATTTGTAAATGGAGTAAATAATTTCATATTCGCTCAATGAGAATACAATTGTGATGGTTTTTTTGCCAGGCATTAAATGTTAGAAACTAAAGTAACTGCAAAATTTAAATGCATCAGCAACTGCCTTATTTAAAAGAACTGAGAATCAAATCTAAAATGCACAAATGGTGTCTACTTATTCTATCTTGCAACATGGAAAACACATAATCAGAATCTATTAATTCACAAAAATCATAGATGAAAATCAAGTTCTCATTCAAGTCACATTAAGCAGTTAATTGTTACTGTAGTGGTGATAGCAATTAAATTCCTGATGTAGAATGAAAAGAATTGGGCATAAAATGCTCTCAAATTAGCATTTTATACTATTAAGAGATCTATCCTTTACTATTGAATTGTAGGGCGGGGAAAGTTGCCGTATATCTTTAATGTCTACTTTCCCATTGCCACAGAGAAAATCAATTATTGTAAATAAATGTCAGTGAAACTACTGTAGAGAGGAAATAGCAGCTAGACTGTTTTTTGAACATTCCTCTGGCAAACTTCCTTCACTTTGCTTTGACTCCCTCCCTATTCTAGGAACATTTCCATGGAAAGGTTCTGTTCCCCTGGCTTGATCTTGGCATGCACTAACAAACGCTTTACAGTCACTCAACACCTTTCATTGTATACAAGGACACATCCACTTTAAACAGTTGATTGCCCTCTGGCAACATGAACACTGTTCTTACACCCACAACAGTTAATTATTGTGCTTCTTTTTTTATGCCTTTTATATAGCTTGACTACTGTAGTACATTTTTTTCTTACATTCCATCATGTCCAATCCTCAAAAATTGTCCAGACAACTCCCTGCAGTTTTCTTGGCATGGTTTCCTCAGAAATGGTTTGCCATTGCCTTCTTCCTAGCGCTGAGAGAAACTGATTGGCCCAAGATCACCCAGCTGGCTTTGTGCCCAAGGCAAGATTAAAAACTCATGGTCTCCGGATTTCTAGCCTGATACCTTAATAATTACACCAAATTGACTCTGACTGTGATTCTTAGCCTTCTATTTTTAAATTTTGGAGCTAAGTTAAGCTAAGCAATTAGTAGTTGTTGACATAATCAGTATTTCTGCCCTAAGAAATTCTAGTTCTACATTCTCCTCCTCTTAATTTTCCACCTACTTCCCCTTTATATGCCTGGAAGGAAGAAAGATCCACCTCCTCTTTCTCTGGCCTCAAAGAGGCAGGTAAGGGAGAAATTCTTCTCCCCTTCATCTTTGTGGAGACTGGCTCTTCTTCCAAAGTTAAAGTAACAATTGTTGGCAACTTCCCCTCCCCTTCAGATAAATGCCTGATGATGCGGTTTCTTTCAATCTATCTCTCTTATTGACAAATTCTACCTGTCTTACCCACTCCACCTCAATAAATCCCTAATCTTCCTAGGGTCAGAATCACTGGCAATTGTAAAAATATTGTTGTGTGACCAGATGGCTTTGGATTGCAAAGGCGTAACTGGGAATGGTGAAGATGGAAAGCTTATATGCATATTATTCACTGCCTCCCAGAAACATTTATGGTAGTATCCAGACAGTCCATTACAATAAAGCTTTTTAAATCTAGTCATCCTATGCTAAATCCAAAACGTATTTTATCTCAAGTTGTTCCTTGCCATGTCTCAGGATGAGAAATGGTGACAGAGATAAGATGTGTTAAGGGGAATGAAACAGTATAATCAAAAGCTGCAATCAAATGCTGCTAGTGTTACCGTGGGGAATCCAATACACTTGGCATCTAGCTTGACTGAGAACTCATGGTGTATAAACACACAAAATAAATATAAAAACGATAGTGTAAACAGATGAAAGCCACATGTGATCCCCTGGGGAAAGGGGGAGCTTTACAATAGTGATGGTTGGCAGAGTACTTTCAGGTAGATTTGCTAGATCTATCTGCTCTTTAATGATGTGTTGAGCATAATTTTATCTTTTCAATGTTTATGACCATAAAAAATGATGATTTGATTTGATTATCTCTCCAAAATGAAAGGATTGAGAGTGACAGAGTGACACTATTAGCCATTGTTGGCCTTATAAATGACACTGATTTCATTCATAAGCAAATGCTGTCACAGGAAAAAGTTCTACCCAATTGTCTTGTGGGTTACTATAGCAACAAAGATATCGCTCTGAGGTATCCTTCCTTCTTGGATACCTAAATATATGGCTCAACATCTCCTTAAAAAGCAGGTAGATTACTCAGGGGCCACCTACAAATAATTTGCTAAGCATCACCATCTGAAAAGTTTCATGTATTCTTCAGGAATGAGTTTGATTTTAGGATATCTTTACAGCAACATATGACCATTATGAAAGAGTTACATGGATTATTATGTTCCAATTTGCTCCAAACAAATTGGCAATATTGGTTACTAGTTTTTTTAATCAACTCTCAACTACTAGCCAAGATACTTGCTAATAAGGAAAAGAATGTAGCATTCACATTCACATTTAAAATTACAGAAAATAACATGTTAAATGCATACAAAGTTATCTTTCACTTATCTCAACCTGAGCTGAGAAATCTAAAATTTGTCTTTTTGTTTAAAAAAAATGTAAAAATGAAAGAGTTAAAGAAAAAATCTGCAATGTTTTTTTTTCTTTCTTACCGTATGTTGACCAATGCATGAGTCACCTTACTGGCTGGCTCTTTCCACTGACCAGCATTAGTAGAAAGTCTCAGAACTGAAAAAAAAGAAAGAAAGATTCTATGACACTTATTTGACTGCAGCTCAAGAGTTTCCAATTTTTTTGTGGCTTTGGACTGCATTTCCTCCCATCCCATTTTTTTTTAACTGTCTCAGCATTCACAGAGATGGGGCAGTATGCATATTGTTATTGGAGAAGATGGGGATAAATCTTTTATACTTTCTGGGCAATTGGATGGGGAGATACCTGGTATTTAAAAGTAACTAATGTTGGGTCATCATTTCAGAGATATTTCTTTACTTAAACAGAGAAATAGAATCACCAGGATAGGTCATTGGGGGTAGGAATGAGTTTCAATTTCCTGCCCGCTACCCTGTTTTCCTTGTGGGAATCTGGCAAGCAGAATCATAAAGCAACCAACCAACCAACCAACCTACCTTCCTTCCTTCCTTCCTTCCTTCCTTCCTTCCTTCCTTCCTTCCTTCCTTCCTTCCTTCCTTCCTTCCTTCCTTCCTTCCTTCCTTCCCTCCCTCCCTCCCTCCCTCCCACCTCCTTCTCTTGCAGGGAGGTAAGTGACTGATGCTGGATGGCAGAGAGACTGGCTTAGAAACTGTCACAGAATGTTGAAAATGATCATCTCTCAGCTGCCAGTAATACTAAAGCAGTCGCCGCTTTCCATATGTCATTCCTTTAGGACTCATGTAAGTTAGTCTATCTGAGGTACCTTGCCCTATGATGTTGCCCTACGATGCACCGTTTTGCCCAGTTAAAGGTTATGATGAGAGTTTTAATGGAATACAAAAGGTGTCCTAAGGCTACTGAAATCTTAATATACTATTTTCTTCGGTTCTTGTTAGACAGCAGAAAATTGTGATGTTCTGTTTGATAGCTTTGCTGGCAAATTTCAGAAACACACTCCTGGGAAACTTTAGGAACAGTAAGAAAAATGTGATGTTCAGGTACATGTGTATTTTGTGTATTGTCCATCCCCAATATGAATACAGACATTCATAGAAAAACACTTAATATATAGATCTCATCTCTTTCCAAATACTGTGTGTTTAGCTCCATAAAACACAATGCATGCTTTCTATGCTATATGTAGAAGTTTGCTGAAAATATAAATTATTAAATTCATTATTAAGCTACTATCTCCTTAATAATCAGACTTAGAGGAACCATATTTCTTCTCTGAACTGGCATGCAGCTTCCTTGGCAGCCTGGAAACGGGAAGCTGTCTACAGAATCCTTAACTTCCACGGTGCCCTACCATGCAGCATTAACATCCAAATACAAATACTTCTAAGCTGACTTAGAATTCTCAGTGAATTGAAGGAGGTGCAATAGAAGTACAGAGATAGTAATGTGCATGAAACACTGAATCATAGGGCTGGAAAGGATCTTGGACCTTCTACTCTAACCTCCTCCTCAAGGCAGGAGATCTTATACCATCTCAGTCAAATGGTTGTCCAGACTATTTTTAAAAAACTTTCACAACTCTGGGAGGTAAACTATTCCATTAATTAATTAAACAGAATTTTTTTCCTTACTTCTAGGTTGGATTTCTCCTTAACAGGTTTCCATCCATTGCTTCTTGTTCTGCATTCTGGTGCTATGGAGAATATGTCAATCCCTTCTTTATGACAGTCCTTCAGGTACAGTTACCATATCCCTCCTAATATTTCCCTTTGATAGGCTAGACATATCTATCTCTTTCAACTGTTCATCACATGATTTAGCCTTTCTAGGGCCTCAGCATCCTTTTTGTATCATGAGGAGAAAATGGGACACAGTATTCCAAGTGTGACCTCACTAGCAGTATTATCACTTCTGGTGATCTTCATATTTACTATATACACTGCTCAAAAAAATAAAGGGAACACAAAAATAAGACATCCTAGAACTGAATGAATTATTCTTACTGAATACTTTGTTCATTACATAGCTGAATGTGCTGATTACAAAATCACACAAAAATTATCAATTGAAATCAAATTTAGCAACCCATGGAGGTCTGGATTTGGAGTTACACTCAAAATTAAAGTGGAAAAAAACACTACATGCGCATCCAACTTTGATGTAATGTCCTTAAAACAAATCAAAATGAGGCTTAGTGTGTGTGACCTCCACGTGCCTGTATGACCTCCCTACAATGCCTGGGCATGCTCCTGATGAGGTGGCGGATGGTCTCCTGAGGGATCTCCATTCACACCTGGACTAAAACATCCCCCAACTCCTGGACAGTCTAGCATTGTCTTGCATTAGGAGGAACCCAGGGCCAACCGCACCGGTCACGCTGGAAGATGTTGCAGGCAGCAGAACGTTCTTCACGGCGTCTCCAGACCCTGTCACCTCTGTCACATGTGCTCAGTGTGAACCTGCTTTCATATGTGAAGAGCACAGGGTGCCAGTGGCAAATTTGCCAATCCTGGTGTTCTCTGGTAAATGCCAAACGTCCTGCAGGGTGTTGGGCTGTAAGCACAACCCCCACCTGTGGACGTCGGGCCCTCATACCACCCTCATGGAGTCTGTTTCTGACCGTTTGAGCAGCCACATGCACATTTGTGGCCCCCTGGAGGTCATTTTGCAGGGCTCTGGCAGGGCTCCTCCTGTCCTTCCTTGCACAAAGGCGGAGGTAGCGGTCCTGATGCTGGGTTGTTGCCCTCCTACAGCCTCCTCCACATCTCCTGATATACTGGCCTGTCTCCTGGTAGCACCTCCATGCTCTGGACACTACGCTGACAGACACAGCAAACCTTTTTGCCACAGCTCGCATTGATGTGCCATCCTGGATAAGCTGTACTACCTGAGCCATTTGTGTGGGTTGTAGACTCCGTCTCATGCTACCAGTAGAGTGAAAGCACCGCCAGCATTCAAAAGTGACCAAACCATCAGTCAGAAAGCATTGGAACTAAGAAGTCGTCTGTGGTCACCACCTGCAGAACCACTCCTTTATTGGGGATGTCTTGCTAACTGCCTATGCTTTCCACCTGTTGTCTATTTCATTTGCATAACAGCATGTGAAATTGATTGTCAAACAGTGTTGCTACCTAAGTGGACAGTTTGATTTCACAGAAGTGTGATTGACTTGGAGTTACATTGTGTTGTTTAAGTGTTCCCTTTATTTTTTTGAGCAGTGTAAATGAAGGATGAGCGAATGTGGTGATGATTTTTATATGCATGAGTGCAAATGCGAGATAAGGTTGTACATCAGAGAATTACAGGTCAAAAAGAGGAGAAAGAGAAAAGGATTTATCACACATTTATAGCTTTGGCCCTCCATGAAGGAATCCAGTTCTCCAATTACAGAAAAACTGCCCCACCCTCCTCCCATAGCAGTAGCAAATGCACTGCTCTACCATCTCCACTTCCTTATCCAAAAATATTTCCAGACAGCATTATTTTTCTTCCCTTCCTATTTACACAAGCTGTTTCCCGACTGCATTTCTTTGAAGCACTGACCTGGTTCCATGACTCGCTCTATGTTCTTTGGAGACAATTTCTTACTGTGCTTTCATCAAAATAAGATGAAAGCACAACTTCCTGTTTTCATGTCATGTTTACAATAAGGCTTCCCTGCAGCTAAATGGTTCTGGGAGCTTGGCTTACTCTCTGATCTGAGATTAAGGCGTAGTTTCCCAATTGGGAGCATTCTACACATGTCAAATGGGATCATCCTAAGTGAACTTGGTGCGTTCTTGCTACTATTTAAGTATTATATGCCAAGAAACAGCAGCAAGTATACTTTCACATGCAGCAGCCATATCAGTGCTTCAGGTAATCCTCTGATCCCTTGACTATATTATTTATATATTACTGTATTATTTATGATTTATATAAGCTTAAGAAAGTATAAGTTTAAATATCTCTTTAGCCTGGAATATCTTTTAAATGGTTATTTCACAGTCATGTATTAAAGGTTAATTAAAATTATATGACAAACGTGTATTAAAGAGCAATCATACATTATTATTTGCCCTTAGCCACATTTATACAAATGTTACATTAACATAAAGTCAAGTCATCTAACACTACTTACCCATGGAATATAGGTTATCAAAACTCTGGTGCATTCTGATTATTTCATAATATAGCTCATCGTAACTGCTAGGAGTTGGAAGAAAGGTATCTCCATAAGTGATGAACATATTAAACAGGTTTATCACCTTAAAAAAAGATTATGGGTATTACTGAATAAAAGTATATTCATTTTATTATTTAATCAAATAGAAATAGGAATTTTCTGGGCAAATTAAAAGGTTATTAAATAAATAAAAATACTAACGCATGTAAACCACATATCCTAACATTAAAAGTATCGAAGCGATCACTTAGCTTTCATATCTAAAACATGTACTTTCTTTTCCTGACAAATTCATCAGGCCTGACTCTTATTAAGCAAGGGAAAACTACAGTCACCCATGACAACAACATATCATTCACCAAAAAGGCAAATTTGCATGGTTGAATGTATAGCTTAAAAGTAAAATGAAGTCATAAAAAAAACAGGCAAGCTGTTTCTATATAATCAAGAGTTTCTTAAGGAACATACAATTATATAAAAGCATAAATCAAAAGCCAAAATTAAAGAAATTTCAAAATATCAAAAAAAATTATCTAAGAACAGTTGTACCGTATTGTCAGTTGTGTGGGAAGCAATTGACACATACAAAAAGAAATAAAATCAGTTTATTCAACTCTCTAATTTTCTCTGGATCTCCCAGACTACATGTGGCTTCTAAGCTTCTGAAATTTCCACACTGCAGAATTGCTGTACATGAATGACTATTTTCCACCATTTTAATCCTAGTAAGCACTTTAGAAGAGGAAAGTTTGGAGCTTAAGCATCTCTGTGAAATTAAAAAAATAAAAAGATACCTCTACTGTCAGCAATAAATAGAAATACTTCAAGGGGAAAAAAATAAATGGCATTCTCCAATTGACTACTATTCAAAATGTACCTCCTTGGCTGTCCAGCTATGAAACATTTGGATTTTCAGACTAATTACTGCAATAAGCTCTTTCCTCATTTAAATGTCCCAAACAGAATTCCACAGTTTAATTTCCAGCCTGCCTAGAATTCCACAGTTTAATTTCCAGCCTGCCTAGAGCCATGAAGATCATTCCTATTAGAACATGAAGAAGCACTGGAAGTTTTTTTTTTTTTTGTGGGTTCCAATGGTGACAGATAAAAAACACAGCTCTCCCTAATATAGCACTCAATTCAGTACATATTAAAACATTTCTTTTTCTATATACATTCCAAAAAGCATTTGGAGGGAGTATTCTTATCTTGGATCCAATTCTGTCTCCAGGCCTTTGGCAGCCATGACTAATGTCTTTTTCTTCCTTTCTGTTCCCCTTTGGTTGCACTTCTATTGTTCTTTGTTTTTAAATGTTTTAACAATTGTAAACTGCCCAGACTTGCTGGGAGTCAGGGGCATATAAATTTAATAAATTATTAATCACTGTCTTTAAACATTATACATGGGACTCATGTAAGTATTATAATAGAGAATAAAAGTTCCTAAACTGAACTATAAAATGTAAAGTAATATTCTTAACCTGGTTTTGCCCAGGATTTGTATATATCTATGTATGTGATTTATTAACCTCCTCCGGCCATAAGATGGAGCCAGAAATCTGGTTTGTTCTCTTCTTGCATTTCCTGTATTGCAGTATTGCCTGATCGTGGTTCTGCTCAGATTGCTGTGAGTCTTGCAACTGTTAGCAAACTCCATTTACTGAACTCTGTTTATGATACTGGACTTCGTTTTTGGATTATCCCTGGACTGATACTAATTGCTTTAACCGTGTATGATTTGGACTGTTTGGTGGACTTTGTTAACCCGTTTACTGGAGGTAAAACCTACATTTTACTATTCAGTATATCTGTATGCTGGTCATGTGTTATTCAACATCATTCTCACTACGTTTCCCTAAGTGCACTCATTCTCCTAATGGGGAATACCTCAACAACACCGCTGTGACGACATGAGTTTGATACCCCTGAACTAAAGCCTTCCAGAAATCCAGGTTTTATCTAATTTGAGATAAGCCATTCTTTGCACTGGGGGTAAACTGTTCTAAAGGGTTAGGGTTAGCCACCAAAAATACCCACTTCTGTGCCCCATCCTGTAAAACCTCCTAATAGGAGGGACCTTTAGCAGAACCTCTCTATTCATGCAGGGACAATTTACTTGGGATAAATAATTTTTTGGGATACTCAGATCCCAAAAGCTCCTTGAGAAACTTGGAAACATATCAATAACCAATGCAGCTCCATCAGCAGTAGAATAACATGAAAGCATATTGGGATTGCCCAATAAGCACACGGCCATTGCATTTTGCATCATTTGAAATTTTAAGATAGTGTTCGAGGAGTTTTCATACAGTATATATTTTTATTAGTTTATGAAGGACAGCTCCATTAAAATGAGCTGCAACAATTTAGGTAAAAGGAGATAAGAGTGTAACATAATCTTGTCTTGTTCTGTCTGAGACATTACAGCAGCTGCACTGGACAAAGGCTAGCAGAAGCCATATATGTAGGAGGATCCCCAGATTGTGAGTCTGGTCTTTCAGGGTGAAGCAGAAACCCATCAAGTACCAAGGTTGATATCACTCCATAATCAACTGGCTACTGAACCAATAGCCATTCTAACTTCACTGGTTTGAGACTGAACCCATTTCTCCCCATCTAGGCCATGGAAGCATCCATACTTTCCCCCCATTTTCCATGTAGCCTCTGGCAGCATAGTAGGGTATCGTCAACATACTGATAATGATTCACTCTGTGCCAGCAGCTTCATGTACATGTTAAAAGGTTCCCTTAAAAATAAAATAAAAATCAAGAGTTTTTATCCTTGCTAAGGCCCATTTCTTTCCAAAGATACTCACCATCAGAGCCAAGGTAAAGATGTTATGTTTTGCCAGCAAAACTGTTTCATTAGACATGAGGAACTTCAACAGATTAATCAGAGCTAAAGGAAGAATTTAAAAAATTAAATAAAGTTTTATTCACATAAACCAATACTTATAACCAATGTAAATAAGAAACTGAACTTCTTTAATTAAAATGTATACTTCACAGGTAAGAAAACTTCTGTTTTAGTTCTAGATTTAGCTTACTTGTACTTTTTATGTTAAATTAACTTGTCAGAGATCACTTTAAGTAGGAACAAGAGTACGAAAATGAATTGTTTTCAGCACAAAAACCAACTAATCAATATTAGAGGCCACTTTTGCTAATGGTACACAAGTCAGAACCATGTATGGTCTGCAACAGCTAGGTTCACTTAGTGTATTATACTTATTTGGATACAATACATGTTATGTCGAGTTACTTAGGACAGGACAGATCACTTTGGATTCAGGAGCTCAGAAGCACTGTCTGCAGACCAAAGTATTTTAACGCCCTTGGTTATGTACATTCTTTTAAATCTCTTTTCAGTAAGACAGAGCAACCAAGGTAGCAAAAGCTGGGAACACAAATAGTTTGAGGCAAAAATGTATATCTGACAGCACTATTACAATCAAAAAATAACAGTCAAAAATAATTTCCAAACAAAGGCATTTATATTTTACTTGAAGTTTCTGAATATGTGAACTTTAGACTGAACATTTTCAGTTCTTAATAAGGAAATTGGGGTCCAAAGCACACATTTTACAGCTACGAAGTTAAAACTGTCCAGTTTAAGTCCATTTAGAAACTTGAGGACAGAGTTCACCCTTGTTATGGAACAATATTAACACACGAGATTCACTGATGGGTACATGAGATTATCATAAACTATAGGAGGAACACAATGATTGTCGACTACCTACTGATCACCTTGATTAAAAAGTCATGCTAGAATGATCAGCTTATATGAAGATATGGCTAATGAAAGGAGTCATGCCAGACTGACCAGGAAGAATCCTATTTCAGATCAGCACTTCTGTATCTAAGATGGGCACATGCTGGCTAGGAGGACATGAAAAATGAGACCAAGGAACTGCAAAACAAACTAACAGTAAACAACAGTCCAATCAGGGAATCACCAAGTCCAATCCCACCAACACAATAGGGCAAGCCACCAATAAATAAAAAGAGAGCAAACCCCACTTCTTACTAGCACTGATATTACCTAATTTGTTAGTGAAACATCTGCAGGAAAAAAACAAATCTGAGAGAGGATCAAAACCCCCACTAATGGGACCTAACCAAAAAGTATTTCAGACATAACTTTTTGGAGATTGGGGGGAAAAAACCAAGTTGGAACTTGTTTTTACAATTTAAAATTGTAATAATGATTGGATTTGGCTAAATTGGAAATTGCCAATCAGAGTCCAACTTGCTATTCTGCTAAGAAGAAAGGAGGAATAAGGTCTCATTAATTCATCTCCTTACTTGACTTTCTCTCCAACAATTTTCTCTTTAGCTACTAACAGCCTTCCATCAATGTTCTTCCACTGGGAGGGAGTTTGACTGTCCATCAATCCTTCTTAAACTTGCACCCAAACTTGTGCTCTTGTGGCTCATTCCTCCAATGGCAAAAGATATTTGCCCAAGCACTATGGGAGGAGAAATACTTTGTAGATGGTAGGACTGAATGGATAAAGAGTGATAAGTGATAAGAGTAATAAGATAATATTCCATTTGTCTTTCTGAGTTGACTTTTATCCTTTCTTGTATTAATTTACACTAACCTAAGCATGACCTCTTCACATAACCGAAACACAACACAGCACATTTTTACCAGTTCAGTCAATCAGGATATGGTTGCCTTCCCATCTGCTTCTCTAAGAAAGTTATGTATCAGCTATAATGATCTTTGGACAGTTTGTATCAGGCTTGAGAGGCACATTAAAGGGAAAATTGTAGGAGAAATTTGAATCAATAAACTTGTGCAACTGGCTTTAAAATATATTCTATTCCCTTTTGTGGTTAGTGTGCCCATGCGGAGCAGAAAGCCAAAACTGTCCTAAAGTTAGTCAGCTCAACTCATATAATTACATTATTAATTATTTTGACCAAGGGCAAAAGATTGGTTACTTTAACAGCATGGCTGCCATATAATGTTTCTTGAAAGAATTTAAAATAATCTTGATTTAGCAAACACGAGACTATAAATTAACTTTTGACCCGTTAAGGAGTTCATTTGTGGCTCACTGTTTTTGTTTGTTCTGGGGTTCTTTAGCTTGTTTTTATTGTTGTTTGTTGTTTGTTTAAAGAATAAATGCTTTCTCTCTGGAAGATTTGGAATATGCTGTGACCTATTTTCTGTTGTTAATCAGAATCACAGTTAGTGACAGTTGTTGGTATTCTCTGAACTTTTAAAAATATCTAACATACTACGAGGAATCTTAAGTAATCTGAAAAGTCAGTGGGAGGATAAGAAGGATCCCGTGTTCTAGATGTAGATGTTGCAATAAATTAAATAATCATATAAGCAACAAACAAAACAGTTGAATAACAGTAATTCCAAACATCATTTGAGTAAACATAACCAAGGAGAGAGGTACAAATGTAATAACAGGCAAGATTGTGATTAGAAAATCACAAGCAAACAAATACCACATTTCATCCTCACATGTACAGAACAGAGTATCACTCTCTGAGCATAGTGTGTTCATAGAAACATTAATCTGCACAAATGGATACAGGATAATACTGTGCCACGTAGAGCCACTATGCTTTTCTCATCAATATATCCAGTTCAATTTAAATGCTTAGGATTGTGAATAAGACCTTAATACCATACTGATTCAGGTCAAAATAGATATTTGATCATATTGTGCTTAAACACATCAGATTTCAAAGCAAAACAGAAATTCCAAATAGGCCCTCCATATAGCAAAGATGCAGTTAAAACACGTTTCCAAGGTAACTAAGCTTCCATGGCAAACGTTGCCATCCAAGGCAATCACTACTTGGGACTAAGACAGCTGCCCTGAGTCTCTGTGAGCAGTTTATTGGGAACTTCTCCCAGTAGTAGGCATTAAGTATGTTTTATTCAATAGTTCAACTTAAAAAAAAAAAAAAACATTGTCAAATCATTCAGCCAAAGAGTTGGAATGCTTCATATTCTACAGTCAACAGAAACTTTTCTCCCTTCCGTTCATATTTTTAACAATTTGCCTTCAGCAATTATCCAATAGATATAAATCACAGGCTGTTAACAATTTGTTCTAATCCAGTATTGGAGAAATGCCTTCACATGAAACTTCTGGATCACAAAGTAATGTCTAAGGAACATTCTTATTTGTGCTCAGTTTGGTTCACTCATTCATTTTCCTCCAGCAACAGTTTAGGCATTTCATCTCCTGAAGCAAATCTGATAAACAACTGACCCCCTCTGAGGATCCATGCATGATCCAATCCAAAGCCACTGTTG